GTATCTCAGAGTTGTTTTGATTTGTATTTCCCTGATAGCCAAGGGTGTTGAGCACTTTCTTAAGTATCTTTCAGGCATTTGAGATTCCTCTGTTGAGAATTCCTTGTTTAGCTCTGTACCCCATTTTTTAATTGACTTATTTGGTATTTTGTTGTCAAGTTTCTTGAGTTCTTTGTATATTTTGGAGATCAGCCCTCTGTCAGATGTGGGGTTAGTGAAGATCTCTTCCCATTTTGCAGGTTGCCATTTTGTCTTGTTGACACAACCGCACTCTTAACTGTTGAGTCATCTTTCCAGCCTTTGTCATGATTCTTTCAACTTTATACCAGTGACACTCAAAATTTCTAGAATATCCAAAACACAGCAGTTTTTGGTAACATCCTTCTGAAGACTGAGGTCCCAGGAGAAAGGAGAATCCTAAATGTTCTAGAAGTCAATCTTACAGAAAGCAGTCAACAATGCATACATTACAGTTGGTTCTGAATACCTCCCCTACCTCATCATTTGTAAGTGAGCTAAGATAATCAGCACCAGGCCAGCACCCAGAGTACTCTAAGCTCCAAGGTTACTGGCTTGAGGCAGCATTGTACAGTATCACATTATTTTAGCAATGGCATGGAAAGGTATCTTTCTGTAATGCTTATTGTGTGTTTTAATTATCCTTGGACTGATAGACCCTTTTCTCCAATTACATGCTAAATGAAACTGCATTCTAAATCCTCCATTTACTGGAGAAGAAACATCTAGTTCAACACTGCATTAAATGAAGTAATTACATGATTGTCTGTTACATGTGTGAATGAGCAGCAAGAGTAATAGGAAATAGAAAGTTCCCTTTGTTACAGTAACATTCCAGATATTTGGTATTATTTTAAAAATTATTTTGGATTTTTTTGCAGAAACTAAGTTTTTTAAAATACCCTCTCACCAAAACCCAAGCCGCCTCCCCATACAACCAACCAACAAACAAATAAACAAAAACCCATTTGCATATCACATTGATATGGTCATTGAAGCCTAGGGGTCTTAGTGGTTCTTGTAGTGGGATATTTGCTTTCCTTGCTGAACACTGTAACAGATTGGGTCTTTATTCATCTAGAATAAGGTATTAACATTGCTGATTCCACAGAGTATTTATATATAAAACACAGGAGACAGTTAATAAAAACAGCATAGACAACATTAAAGAGCTATTCTGTTCCAGGCTTTGAAAATGTGGAGTACTTGGAAAACTCTTAGAAATTTTCACATTCACTCTCTCAAGCCCTCAAAGAATGCTTCTATTCATTGTCTTTTTCAATAATGCTATTTACAGCACTTTAAGAAGTTTATTCACAATAATACATGCCAACATATTTAATTAATGTTGCATGGGATGTAGAAGAATCCATAGAAAACAAATGAAAGAATGGTATTGTTTTGAAATGGCACTCTTTTGATATTTTAAAAGGCAGTGACTGCTTTTCATAGCACTTAATACTGGCTGTTATATTGAATTATAGAATGAGGCTCTGAGATACTTTGTTTAAAAAGTTTTCATCTATTATTTCAGAGCCAACACAGATGCTCTGGAATCATAAATCCATATCACATCCCCAAGAGAAGTTGGCCTGTTCCTCTATCTGCTTGCTGAGCCTCTTGCTAAACAAAGTTCCTTATCTATAACCTCAGTATATCCTTATTTTTCTTATGGACTAACTGTGATCTCTAATATGTTCCATTATCTTTTATTTCTGTATATCTTACAAAAAATCTTTGCACATTTTTTTTCTGAAAGGAAAGATACCAACTTAAATATACATGCAGCAGATACTCTTTTCCTAGTACCCAGCATGTTTTGTTCATTATCTCACTGTCTCTTCCTTGCATTGTCTTTGGAAAAAAACTAGGAAGTGGAATGTTAAATAGTTTATTTACTTTTCTTAGACTATCAAAGCTGACTAAGATAAACAGCAGAGAAATGTATGGCTTGCTTTTTCCAAGTCATGTATGCCTTGGTGTTGGCTAGGATGCAGGCTCTTACAAAGAGAGATGGCCAGAGCTAAACTAAAAACAGGAACATAGATGTTTCAATGACTTTGATTATTCAGCTACACGTCATAAATGCTAAATGCTCTCTATCTAAAATGTTTTAGTAAATGACAGCATTTTTGAGTCATGATTTAGTTGTTCTCTTTTCTTACCATTTTCAGGCCAGCCAAAGTTGCTTCAAGATTACAGATAATGAAGAAGAGACGATAGCTGTGTGTTAGAGGCCAGTCTCCCTGTACATTCTTTACAAGGGATCAGTTGATGCATTCCTCAATAAGGAATTCATGTGATGGGTTGTTGAATAGAATCTACTTTAAATGGAGATAATTCCTTAAGTCCAACATGGAAAATTTCAGAAATAGAAAATACTACAGATAATGAAGTTTGATCCACCAAGCTCATAGGAAGCCAGCACTAACTACAGTCCCTACACTCAGGTTGAGGCAGAAGAATTACAAATTCTGGGCTAGCCAGGGCCACTTGGAACAAAAGGAACTAGGATTACAGACTCAGCTCCAGGGGAGTGTGTTCTCATGGTGTGTGTGTGAGACTCTGGGTCTAAGTTGCACAACCACAAAATAGTAATAACAATAATAATTTTGTTGGAAAGTAAGACATTTGTGTTAATACAAGTAACATACTGGAATGGAGAAAGAGGCCGCATGTTCCACCTCTCTTTGATTCCTCATCCTTAAAATAAATGGCTTTAACATGGCATGAATAGTCTTATCTCAAACATGTCAGCATTTCCAAATATTTGTATGTACACACATAGGCATGTATGTATCCAAAATTACAGAAATGTAAACTTGAGGGCTGCAGAGATAGTTTAGTGATCAACACTCTTGTGTGCAATTGTGAGGACTGCAGTTCAAATCCCCAGTACCCATCTAAAACCCGCATGGGATTGGTAGTATAGTTATAATTCCAGCACTTAGAAGGCAAATACAGGACAATCCTAGAGCAGAATGGTTCACCAGATTAGCCATATTGTCAGGCTCTGGGTTCAGTGAGAGATTGTGCCTCAATGAATGTGGTAGAGAATGGTCGAGAAAAATTCCCAACCTGTTGGGCCTGTGGAAGGGTTCAGTGAGAGATTGTGCCTCAATGAATGTGGTAGAGAATGGTCGAGGAAAATTCCCAACCTGTTGGGCCTGTGGAACTCCTCTCCCTCCCTCTCTCTCTCTCTCTCTCTCTCTCTCTCTCTCTCTCTCTCTCTCTCTCACACACACACACACACACACACACACACACAAACAGACACACAGGAGAAAACTCATAAATATTTCCCACTTATATGGCACTAATGAGAATAAAATGGCACAAGCTCTTTCTGAATAGATTAGAAACCCGACTCTTCATTATCTTACTCAGTTTACTTTGTTTGCCTCAACCAAGACATGACATTTAAATCATTTAAATGATTGGACAGCAGTGATTACCAACAGAAGGAATTCAGAGTTTTAGCCAGCAGCTTTCCTACAACTTTGTCTAACCAGTAAACACCAGCTCTAATTTCAGTCATTTGAAGGATTGTGTGTTCTTCTCACTACCCATGGTAGGCCCACCTTTCAGAAAACATCTTCCAGAAACAGCTGTGACCTATATTGCCCCTTTTATATCAAGTTTTCATATTTTAAAATTTGTTATTTGAAAGACTATCATAGGTACAACACATGAATTCATGGAGCTCTAATGGTTGATACAGTTTCTCTAGAATATTGCTTCCAGGATTTCCACTATAACACTGGAGGGACTTTACTCACACTGTTGGATAGAACTGTCACCTGGTTCATGCCCACTAGTGACTTTGAAGCTCTCAAAAAATCCCTATATGGTATAGGATTTACCAGTCTAGAAATTATTATATTGCTTTATTGTTACTTTTCATGGTTTATCATTTCCATTCTACAGAGATGGTATTTTTTATCTAGGTTGCATCTATATTTCTGCCTAGAACAGCAAACAAAAATGTCACTTTATAATATGTGGACATGATTCTTGGAGACTTTCTTATTGCACTTCAAGCATATATATTCTCACAAACATTTAGCTCGGTCTCTGTCTCTCCCTCTCTCTCTTTCTCCCTCCCTACCTCCTTGGTCATCAAATTGTATGCAGATTTGAAAAGGTTACTGCTTCCCCTGTCCTCTGTCCCCTGGGTTTACTCTGTCCAATTATATAAATGATGTCTCTTCCTTCTCTGATTTTAGATATTCACTTCTCATAAAGAGAAAGCACAAAAACACCTCATTTATTATGTTACAGTTTTAATCACTTGTGCACATGTCACCGGGATTTCTATTCTGTGTCTTCTATGTATGGATGTAAAGGAATCCAAATTTATTGTGTATCTACGGCTAGTGTTTTTTCCAGGTAGTCTACTCTGTGTATATTATCCCATTTAATCCATTGTTGTCTTGGGGATGTGGTTATGCTTGATCTTAACTCATAGAAAAGGAAGCTAAAGGCAGTTTGCACAAATGCTGGACCCACAATTTGAGTACAAGAATGTGTCCCTAAGTGCTATGCTGTTTTTGATGTCATACATGAGGTCAACCGTTTTTGAGGATTAAGTGGATTTAAATAAGCTTGCTTTATTTTTAGCACATATTTTCTTGCCTCTAATATGAGGTGAGAAAACCAGGATGCAGTAAGTGTTTTGCTTGTTGATGCTGTAAGAGAACTTTAAAAACTAGGTGAAACAATGCTAGTAAGTTGTTAGGGAACTCAAGTCTAGTCTTAACTCATTGCCTTCAGAGTCATGGTTGTCAAAATGAAATAGCTTGTCTCAGCAAGAAAGTATTAAATATGAGCAGGCAATACTAAAATCATTTCTGTAGAACACAATTGAGTTATAAAAGAAAATCTGAGATGAACTCTTAGATAGTGGCCACCTTTCTATTTGGCAAAATTAAGAAAGAACATTTGGAACTCAAACCTATGCTGTTGTCACTCATCTTCAGGTATTCCAGATTGCCTATGTGATCGTGAAAGCAGCCAACTCCCCTCGGCCTGGAAACTGGATTTTGGAACGTTCCCTAGATGATGTGGAGTATAAACCCTGGCAGTATCATGCAGTGACAGACACAGAGTGCCTGACTCTCTACAATATCTATCCCCGCACTGGACCACCATCCTATGCCAAAGACGATGAGGTCATCTGCACTTCATTTTATTCCAAGATCCACCCTTTAGAAAATGGAGAGGTAAGATGAAGAAACACCACTAAAGCATACTGAATATGGTACAATAACCTCTGTCAGAAAGACATGAGCATAACAGTAATTAATGCCAGGAAGGTTTTAAATGGAACTTAGCAGAAGTAGATTTAAATGCATTATTAAATCAAGAAGAAAACCCAAGGTGATTAGAATGTTAACCACCTTCATGTGTCTCCATTGTCCAATAAACATCAGAGATGAGAAAATGAGTTTGAGATGGGGAGCCAGAGATTAATTTTACATTTGAGATTTTCCTGACGATGACAATTGCTAGTGACTAGAGGAGTAAGACTGGAGACCCAAAGAAAGCTCCACAGTGTACACACCTAGTTGGCGGCTAGAGACAAAGGAGGGGAATTGAAAAAAAAAAGAAAGGAAAAAAGAAAAAAAAACATAACCCATACAAAATGAAACCATATCACATATTATTTCTTTAACATTCTTTTATTTGAATTACAAACAAGATTGAATTACATGACAATCCCATTTCCCTCCTCCATCCCTTCCTCCCCTACCACCCCCCAACTAAAATCCTACCTATCGCATATCCTTTCTTCTAATTTACACCTGGCTCAACCTTTCTGCTCCCTCATGACCTCTGCATCCTTCCTCTTATTCCCTTCTCATTAACATATTGTATGCATTTCTGCTGTCATCATAGAGGCCCATAGTGTGATATTATCCCATTGGTAAAGTTTTCCTGAAAGCTTATGATCAGGTGCTAAATTCTCAGATATATGCAAACATACATAACTCAAGAGTGTTCAGTTGCCTTGTAGTGTGTTTTTCTTTTCGGTACTGGAGATAATATTCTAGTTTTTATTCATTAGTTTTAAGCCAGGGAGCCAAGCTATGACTTCCATGATGCTAGCTGTGTGTTCTTAATCCATTTGAGAATGATCAAATGAATATTTGAACTTAAAGCTCCCTGGGGGCTTATATCTTGAAACATCCATCACAAGATGAAAACATCGAGTGGCTAAAATGCATTTAATGCACCAAACTAGTGGACACCACAGCTTTCTGTAACCTACCTTACGCACAACTTTTTGCAACCATATTTTTGGTAAGCATGCCTTACATATACTCTGAAAACTTCCATCAGCCTGGCTTGAACAAATTTCATGCAATTTGATGACACTCAACTGAGACTAAAATCAGTGTGGGTGTGTGAGAGCAGGTGACCCAGGTTGTGATTCGTTGACATGAATTGGGAAAGCTCAATGACCAACATCCCAGCATGCTGCAGAGTACTCTTTGAGTACTCACTGTCTCTTGGTGTGATGTGGAGCTGACAGAGAGCTGTAGCTAAGGCTACTGGGCTTCATGGGAAGGAATTGTACTGCACACTGTTAGCCTGGGAAAAGATCCAGATCGCAAGTACATTTTTGTTGAATACATATCTCAGCATCACAAGGTTAAAGCAGAAACATCATTCCTATGTGAGATACAGTTTGTACCCCTGTCTGACATTCTCTCTCCAGTCTGGTACCCAAGGATCATATCATCTTCTACAAACACTTCCAGAAAGCCACACTCCCATTCTATTACCTCCACCATAGTCAACCTCTAAATACTTCTGGAGAAGAAGTTACAGTTCCAATGTATCTACCAGACTTCTTCTTGGCAATTTAATTCTACAAATTCAAAACAGTATCCTTATTCTAACTCAACTTGCATGCTCAAAAATAACCCATTCTAAAATGGTGTATACAACAAAGATCTCAATCTGAGAAAGAACAAGGAGTCAAATGCACCAAGTCAAACAGCTGTTCAACCTTTGTGCCCAGAGACAGCTAATTCAAGGACAGTTTGTTTATAAGAGAAGTAGGGCATGCAGAGAGAATATATGTATGTGAGTTGAATTTTATTGTTTTTTTTCCTCTTCCAGTTTTTACCTAGGACTAATGATTGTCTAATTCTTTACCATTTAAGAAATGCTCCAATTCAGGAGCTGTTTGAGCAATATAAAGTACAACTAGGTAGCTATGTAATGTGAAGTTATGTTACTAGCTCCTCCTTATTCATTATAGATGGTTTTTGGACATTTAGATCTATTCAGCCTGGCAACAGAAAAAAAAATCTTTGCTCATTTGTTTTGTTTCATTTCTAGTTCTTTGTGGGTGGTTTATAGAGACATTGCTATTTAAATATATACTATACTTTTAATATATCCCACATTATCTCACTACTACTGGCTATTAACCTCACATTTTCCACATTAGTTCCCTTCAAGTAGACAGGTAAAACAGATTTTCCTGTGATGCATTTCCCCAAGTCTATTTGTTTCTTCAAGGGACAAATTTGAAGTAAGGGACAGAGATATTAAAATACCACACTAGAAGGATAGAATTAAAGAATAAACTTCTCTTAGACTTTCTTCTCATTTTATGGAGTTTGCTTTGTGCAGTATGCTACCTTCTAGAAAAAATAATAGATTAAGAGAAGGCAGACATGATTCTGCAAGTATTTCCACATATATTATTTCTTTCAGTACTTCCTCTACAATTTCAATTAAAAAAAATTAGTACATATTTGTCACTAAGTGCCTTACACTTATGTCTTTCATTTGCGTAGTCTATAATCTTTGTTCATTTCCCCTTTTGTATATTTACATAAATCCCTATTATGGTATATTTTTAATATATTAAATTCTGCCCAAAGCTAGGTTAGAAACTATTGAAACTGCTTATAGAAATATATCTTTGTTTACAATAATTTTTAATTTCTACAATTTCTCTGACTCATTTCCAAGTAGAAGTTTTTAGAGTTTCTATTGGAATTTTACATTTATTATTTGGTGCCTGGAAAGATGTATTAGTGGTTAAGAGAACATACTGTTCTTGAAGAGGATCTGAGTTCAATTCACAGCACCTGGGGCAGGCTCACAGCTGAGTGTAACTCCACCTTCAGGGGATCTGATGCTCTCTGGCTTCTATTCAGACCCATACTGATATGGCCATAAACATACAAATATTTAAAAATAAAATATTAATTTAATAATATAATTTGTGTTGAATAGGTCAATATTGTGTCTATATTTCCTGGAGTACAACATTATACTTACTGAAATTTTGTTTGATAACTCAGTGCCAGGCCTTTGTAGATATATTTTGTTGCCCAATTACTGGATGGTTCTTTTTTATGTTGTTACTTTGCATAACAAAATTATATTTGAAAAGTATTTGTGGAAATAATTGAAGGGCTGGGATATGATTTTCCAGTGAGGGTTTTCTGATGCTTCTGACCACCCCACACAGCAATCTGGATCCTCTTTAAACAATTTAAGGATTTAGATTCCTGGGACACTCGGATGAATAAAGCCTTGGCAGAACCTGGTGACAGCTGCTTTCATTCCACTTACACTCATTCCCGGGCATCCTGTCTTTGGAGTCCAAGCCAACATGCACGGAATTTACTGAGTCCTGAGTCCTTCAAGTTTCAGAATCCAACTTTTGCCTCCTTCTTAAACAGGGCCGTCAAAGCATTTCTTCATCTTCTCAGCTATATCTTCAGGATGGGAACAGGCCCACAGGACTGGACATGCCACCATGCACCAGTAGCTCTCTAGACATTATTTTTCATCTTTTTGGTAGTTCCCAATGGCTCTAAACAGATGTTCCTGTGTGTGCTTTATGTGATTTGGTTGGTGTTTGTCATTGGAAATGTTCGTCTTGGTTATCTAACCTAGTGGAGAGAGCATCAAAATCATCACTTTTAAATTTTGGAATTGTGTTATATTTACATAATTATGAGATACAGAGAATCAAGACATAGTTTTACACTGATGCTGCTATAGCTAATGTCTTGTACAAGGCATTTGCCAAAGATAAACAGTCAACTTTCATTAGTCCAGCATTCTGCACCAAAGTACTGACTGTTTGGATATTGTTAATTTTTCCATTAGTGTCTGTTTTTCTCATCTGGGATTCAATTTAGGGGACAACATTGGATTTAGACTTGTATCTGCTTCAAAACCTCTGATCTGCAATAGTTCTAAAAGATTTTAATACCTGTTTGAAAAGATACTTCATAGACTATTATTCATTTTGGACCTGCCTGATGTCTTATAATTAAATTGACCTTCTGAATTTGGGGGAAGAATACCATGGAGGAAACAGCTGTCTCTTGCACCTCATATTTAATTTCATATACATTGTTTATATTCAATCATTGGATTATACTTTTACATAACTTTTCATTTGGAGTAACAGTGTCTACATATTCACAGCAATCTGAAATATGTGTTTTTGACTAAGCATAGAATAATCAGTTTTATTCAGAACTTGGTAATATCTTGAAGTATAAAATGAAGTCATAAGTAAGAAAAAAGATTGTTTTAAAGTTCATCAATGAAAAAGGCATGATGAAATAAACACATCTTAAGTGTGATACACTAATATAATACTTTTTTTAGGTTTAAGAATAGAATATAAATAGAACATCGTCTTCTCATTACCAATGTCCAATCCAATGATGTAGGAGACATTTGGATACATGCTAATTCCTCAAGACCTTGTAATATACCATTTTAAGAAGGTAATACACCATTGTCAGGTGACCTCTCTCATCTTGGCTGTGTCAAGCCTGTTTGTTGATTTGGATTTGGTTGCCCCAGCATCCCTGGTTTTTCTCAGCATACTCCACATGGTTTTCAAGAGATCAAAAGATGTTTACCATGTGGCTTTACTGTGAGGGAGCTTCAGGGTTGCACTAAATTCCCAAGATAACCAGGTTCAACTACTACCAAGAAAGAGATTAACTCTGCATGCTGGGCTTGAGCCCCAAGGGAGCAGAGAAGCTCACTGTGAGCTGTGATAATGCTGGTACATCAAGTATTAGGGCATGGCATAGGAAGGAGATGGAAGACCACAGGGGAGGGAGGTTGGCTAACCCCTGTGTTGTTATACAAGCTGAAAACCACAGGAGGTATTGAGAAAAAGCCTTTAGAGTTTAATTTTAGAAAAGTAATTTTGTATCATCAGTGCTGAGAGGACTCAGCAGGAATTTGCTTTCTTCTGGTCAGAAAGAGTGATCTGGAATTTAGTAATAGGAGTTGCAGGGTATGAAGCAGCGGACCACAGGGAGTCTCCATTAGTTTGTGAGTCCAGCCACAGGAGCAAGCTCTAATGGGCACCCATATGCAGACATGCCTCCCCACTGTGATGCCAAGAGTTATTTTACTATCCTACAAAGAGGGCTATATCTGTGGAAAGCAGTTGCTCCAGAAGCAACTGAGAACTGTCTCCATGGGCTGGCACCTGGAGACTCCAATGAGAAGTTGGATTCATTTGTAAACCACTTCCCCCCATTTTTTTCAGGGGGTGGAGCCTCTTATTTAGTACATATGACAGGAATTTGGGAAGCATGTTTTAAGCTTATGCTCCTGGTGACTCTGATTCTGAAGTCTCTATTGGCTTGTTGTTCAGACGATTCCAGCTTTCTTAGTCACTGAAGAACAAATGACCAGCTACTTAAGAAAGGAATATTGGTAATTTGTAATGGATGAAAGACAATAGAACATTGTTCTTAGGAAATTTATTAGGATTTAGTGAACAGACTCTGGGTGGTTTAGAGCTGGCTAAATAACCTGGACTCTACTAGGTTATTGACAGTTGAAGAGGTGAAGGAGAGAGGAATTGCATTAATGATGTTGAGGACCATGGACTTTGGGGATCCTAAAACCAAAATGGTAATCAATAGTTTTTCTTTATATGTAAAGTGTCCTGTCCTGTGGTTGGGATTGTTACTACTTTTAATTTATTCAAATAGTAATTGAATATTCATGATTTCCATGGTGATTTTGCCTCACCTTCCTCATATCCAGACCTTTAGTTATGTACAAGTGATTTTCTTTCATTATTACTACAAGCCTTCCCACTCCACAGTAGAACAACTCAATGGGACTTAGATTCCCTTTGAGTTTACTTTTGAAATGTGGCAATCTCACTTAAAAATCTCTGGAGGCACCATCATTCATTCTTGAAGATACTTCTTTTGGAAAACCATATTTGTAGCTTTGATATTATTTTGATTTCTTATGTGAAAGAATTTTATAGAGCAAGACAGAATGTTTCATTTTCTTTTCATTACCTGATATTATGCTGATCCTGAAAACTGAAAATTAGTAGAGAAGGAAGACACAAATCCAGCACATTAAAAATGTTTTAGAGATTCTCCTTTGATGTAATACTGTCATGGGTATAGTATGATTCCATGTATGAGCTTCTATTGAAATGAAGAATTATCCCTTCCTAGTGAACCTTGAAGTTGTTCAATCAGGAAGAAGCAGGGGGACATTACCAATTCCTATTTGTTAAAAACAGAGATTAAAGTAAATAATTAAATGGAGTTTCCATGTATCTTTCCTCAAACATAATTGTCACAATGACTATCATTGAACTAGTCAACAGCATATAACACAAAATTGCCACCTTGCACTAAAGAGTTTGAAACCCTCTAAGAAACAAGGTTTCGTCCTTAGCTGTAAGACATAGAGCACTTGAAATAATTTGTTTATCAAGTATTATACACATAAATATTATAAATAATTCATTTAAGGTATTTTATTTATTATGCTTCAAAATATACCTTTCTAATAAAGATAAAATTAGGGGAGTTGCATTCTTCCTTTGTCTTTGTTAGTCCCTAGATTTTCTTTAATGTGCACATATTAAAAAATAATGTACATAGAAAATAACAAGTGATTTTTAAATTCATATGGTATCTTTGAAAATAACTAGTGATTTTTAAATTCACATAGTATCTTTGCAAATAAAGGTGATCAGAGGAAGTGGCTGACAAGAGTGGAATCTTGGGGAAATAACACCAATATCCAAGAGAGCAGTTATGGAATTGAATGTATCACCACTTACCAAAAGGGAATGGGGAAGTAAGAACATGTACCAGCCTGTGAGAAAGTAAAGGACTGTGGGAGGTGGCACATTGGTACTGCATGCTCTCACTTGATGAGGCTGATGTAGCTCTGCCAGCAAGTAGCAACAGGACCTGCAGAGACAAGTTAACTGCCAATATGTGTCTAGCCCATTCTTATGGCTAGAGTGAAGGTCTTAATAGTGTACAGTGGTGCTTCCATGTAAGCTGTGTAACATGACAGAAGTTCCATGGTTAGTATAGTTCATCCCTCATCTTAGAAAGACTGTATTGGATGGAGAGTAGGGAGCATCCAGAAGCAGGACCATGTAGTATTATTTTGTGTGGTGATTGTAGGGCAGTCCTGGACTGTAAAACCACACCAAAGAAATAAGTGAAGCAAATAATCTCATCTCCATAAAGAATGAACTGTCAGGAAGAAGAGAAGAGGGCCAGTCTTAAGTGCTGATGTGAGGTTAGCACAAGGCCAGGAAGATAATAGCACTAGTAATTACAGCATATGACTTTTATGGCAGATGTTATTTGTAGGGTTTATAAATATAAACTCATATATAGCAATCTCATACATTGTGCTTATATGCACGAGGACCAGAGTCATCTTAATACTCCCAGTGGATGTGTTAAACTGAACACCCTATGTTTTTTTTATTATAGGCACATATCTATAATAAAGTGTAATATATGAATAGTCAGCGTAAGAGCAACAACACGAAACAATAAGATAGAGCAATTCTAACAGCATGCTGTACTGGAATTATCAATACTATGACTCTTGTGTCTTGGGTCATTATTCATTTACAGTAAGGACACATTTAATATAAGCTCAGTGGACACAGCCACACTGACTTTGAAAGAGGTGTTTCCTTAGTGACTAATGGGCAGGAACACAGTGTGATACCAGGAAAGAGCAGGATAATAAGTTCTATCATGCCAGTGACAACTAATATCAACATACAATTTGAAACTTATGAATTGCTTCTGAGATTTTTGATGTAAAGTTTTTGGACTACTGTTTCAATTACCCGTGGAAAGCAAAACATGGATAAATGAATCATCTTACTTTACAATTAAGAAGAAAGTGGTACAGAAAGTTGACTAACTTTTCCAGGGTTTATGACAACCACATAATCATTGGATCTGATCTGAAATAAGATGACATGTCCTTGGAGAACTAGAAATTTGCCTGTTTGTGGTATCCTGTTGGGAGTACCCCAGGACTGTCTCTTTCTTTGATATGATCACATATGGGTCTAGCTTTCAGCTGCTGTGCATTTTAGCTTCTGAACTTTCAATCATCTTGTAATACTTAAAATCAATTTTAAATTGCTGAGCAAACAGGCCACTGATGGTATGACAGGTCAAAAAGGGTTTTATGGATCTCATCAGTTCTATTTAACATTACCAAGGAAGTCTGAAAGACTTCCAGTTAAAATGTGACTCCCAAGAAACAAATGAAGAAAGTTAGTAGATGAACTAGTATCTTTGTCATCAGAAATATTAAGAATAGCCCTTTCTGCAAATTTGCTTTGGAGGTTTTAAAGTACTTTGTCATGCATTTCTCTGTTGAGCCTCATTAAAGCATTAGACACACTTGAAGCTCCTATTTTAATATTCTCACTTTAGAGACAGGCTAAGGAATGTGTCTGAGGTCATGATGTGACTAATGTTCAACATTAATATCCAGTCCAGATCTTCTGATGGGGTATTCCATAAACAAAACCCTTAGGTCCCATCAGCCATTTTCTAAATGTGTGTTTCCATTGGTTCCAAGGGCTTGGGTAACACAGTGTGGATAATTAAGTGCCAGCCAAATGTCTCTGTTGGGAAACCTGAAGGCGTGTCTGTCCATTAATCAGTCTCACACAGGAAAGATAATATAGTATTATCTTTATTGCCAAAGTATACTTGAAAATACAACAAAGGAACTTGAAGCTATTAAATAACTCTGCTCCAGAGGGAAACTGTTTCAACACTCAAGCTGATATCAAAAGTCCTTGAGACAAATAACCCAGGAGCAGAATGGTTATGATTACACTTTAGAAGCTAGCATAGAGATACCAGGAAATACTCAGGCAGGCCCCCTGCTGAGAGTTGAACTGGTGTGGAAAATCCTGCAGCAGAACATTCTGGCCTGAGGACATGTATCATTTTTTTGCACCATACCAGACTAACTGCAACCAAATATTTTCACTGCAAATACATGAACTAGCAACTTTGCTGAATTCTGCTACCTGGGGAGTATACAAGACAGAGAGTTTACATTCCCCTGATGAGCAGGTGAAGTCCTGAGAGTTGTTTTGGGAAGGAGAATGACAAACCTGGCAAGACTGCTACTTAGGGAATCACATTTTCCTCCCTTCAAATTTGCTCGTAAGTTTCATGCAGCAAGAACTATTTATTTTCCTTTTCTACTGATAAGTACCTTCTAAACCCACTCCGAGTGTTTGGTTCAGTCACATGAAATTGTCGGTATTTGACTATTTTTAGTCAACAAAATG